GCGAGCAACTTAATTTTAATTTTTTTTTTTTTTTTTTTTTTTAATAAATTTAATAAACTGCATTTATTCTGCTCACGCAAAAATGCACGAGCATTTCAACAATGCTCGCCTGATTTCACACGAGCACTGTTGAAATGCTCGTGCATTTTTGCGCGAGCAGAACCAAGTAATTTTTTTTTTTTTTTTTTCGTTTCATTATTTAAATGTTTTTTTTATTAAATGAAATAGTAATAAGGTAAATAGTTATGGTAAAAAGGTAAAAAACCATGGTAAAAAAATGCCTGAATGTTTAATTTGACCTGCGTATATCACTACCCTTATTAAAAACAAGAAAAAGAGAGAATCATTTATATTTATCAGAAAAGAGAATATTTTATTTTTATTTCTTTTTCATTTTTCTTCCTTTCAGTTTGCTGCTTGTGTGCTGGTGGTGGTGGTGGTGGTGGTGGTGGTGCTGCCTGCTGCACATTTCGCTTTCTCACTTCACAATCCACCTCTCACGTGAAACATAATTACACTCTTTTTCTTCATCTTTTTTCTTTTCTTTTTAATCCTTTTTTTTTTTTTTTACGGTTTTCACTTCCGTTTTTCTCGCACCTGATCTCGAATTTCTCTTGATCTACTCAACCCCCCTCCCGCAGATCCGCACTACTTCGGTGTTCATAACTCCGCCGCATTTTTAGGGTTTTTTTTTTAATTTCAAGGGTAAGTGTGAAACGAATATTCCGTATGTGTAATTGAGCTTGTTTTTGCACTTCGGAGCTGCTGAATTTCCAACTGCTGTTAGAGAATTGGTTTAATTTTAGGTCACAGCGCGTGAATTGCAGCTGCTTCAGCTTTCGCAATTCGTAAACAAGAGTGTTTTCTGAATTGGGTTTCTCGAGTGGATTTTTTTGTCGGTTACCGTCTGATTTTGAGGTGGGGTTCTTCAGAAGTGGAAGAGGGATTTTTTTTTGCTAATTTTTTTGCAGTTTTCTTGTTATTAGTGGAAATGTGAAGTGGGTTTTTGATTCTTTATTGCAGTGGAGGAAGAGGGTTGATTTAACTCTTTAGCAAAAAAAAAAAAAAAAAATCAGCTGGAGCAATTTAGTGTTCAAGATTGGGGATTTGTTGAAGAATTTATCGGGTGATAATCAGTTTTTTCGGGAGTTTCGAATATGCCTCCATCGCCTGCAATGAGAATTTCTCCGGGAAGGGAGATGAAGGCAGATAATCACAAGAGAGGCCGTAGCCTCGAAAGCGGGACCCGCTTTCGAGAGAATGAAGACGATCTTGCTCTGTTCAACGAGGTGCAGAACAAAGAAAGGGAAAGTTTCTTGCTTCAGTCGAACGATGACTTTGACGACATGTTCTGTAAATTCCTCTACACTCCATAATCTGCTCCTTTCCTTTTTGTTTTATATATGTTCTTTTTTTTTGGTATTAATGAAGTATGTCGTGCTTGTTTTGTATTCTCGTTACGTTCTGCTGACACGTGTCGTTGTGTATCATTTATGGCATTGACAGCGACAAAATTAAGATACTTTTCCGATCATAAGCTTGGAATCTCCGTTCCTGCTCGGGGAGAAACTAGTGACCTGCTCAATGCAGAAGGGGATAAAAATGATTATGACTGGTTGGTTTTTTCTCGTTGCTTCTTATAAATTTGTCGTTTTCTATGTTTTCAATACGTTAGCGTGGTTTAGATTCTATTTTCTTTTTCTTCATAAATTTGGATAACTCTTTCTTCGGTCTATTGGCAAAGCTACTGAATTGGGAACAATATATTAGTAATAGATCACATGCAGGTTTATAAATGCATTAGTTTCTTGATTTGCAATATTTTTTGTCCAAGATCGCAACTTTTTACTTTGCTTGTTATTAATAAATGACGTAAATATATAGGTTGATAACGCCGCCCGAAACCCCTCTATTTTCTTCGTTGGACGACGAAGCAGCGCCAGCTAATCTCGCACCTAGAGGCAGGCCTAGAAGTCAACCTATTACCATCTCGCGCTCATCCACAGTAAGATCGTCAACATAAATATTATCCTTAATCCGTTAATTTCTTATTATTTTTATTATATTTTGAACGTGTTCGATTTTTAGATGGAGAAGAATCAAAGGAGTGCTAAGGGTAGTCCTAGTCCTCATCGCCTCAGCCCATCTCCCAGATCGGGTACCAGTCCATTACAGTCAAGAAGCCGCCCTTTCTCCGCCACTCATTCAAGCCCACCTCCTTCTTTACGCCACTCTTCTCCGTCGAGGGGGCTTTCACCCCCACCGAGCAAACCGACACCCCCTCCAAAGTCTAGCTCACCGACACCTCGAAGGATGAGCACTGGCTCGTTGGGCCCCACCAAGCCAAGTAGGGGAAACTCTTCTTCGCCAAAAATCAGAGCATGGCAATCTAACATTCCTGGATTTTCGTCCGAGGCGCCGCCTAATCTTCGAACCTCATTGGCCGATAGGCCGGCTTCGTATGTGAGAGGCTCCTCGCCAGCTTCCGGAAGGTCCGGCAGACAATCTATGTCTCCAACTGCTTCTAGAAGTGTCAGTTCGTCTCATAGTCACGAGAGGGACCAGTTTAGTTCTTACAGCAAAGGCTCGGTTGCATCGTCTGGCGATGATGACGTGGACTCGATACAATCCAATGTTGTTAGCAGTTCGGATCGATCGATACCGAGAAGATTGGATGCTTCGCCGAATAATAGAGCAATGGGGTTTTCGAAAAAGCCGAGTAAAGTTTTGTCAAGTTCTGCACCGAAAAGATCCTTTGACTTGGCACTCCGACAAATGGTAGGCATCTTTTCTTTTTATTTACTGTTTCTACCATTCGTCTCTTGATTAGATGGAATAAATTGACCTGAGATTCTCGTTTCTGTTATTGGTTGGTTTCATTATGTAGTTTTACTAGGCTAACAAATTTCTCCCACTATTTTTAATGCACGGTATTTGTTTAAAGTTTTTGTTTTTCGACTAGTATCGACGAATCTCCATCTTTAATTGATTTCGATGCATTCGATTTACCAACTTTTTGGTCTAGAGTAAATGTTCAACTTGTCATGTACACGTATCCAATTAGGCAGGTATAGGACTTCTTATTTGTTGCTACGATTGGATCGTTTTTCGTCTGAACGCATAATCGTGGATATCAATGAATCTACGATCTGGTAGATCCGTTTCTTCCCGATGGTTGAGTTAATCTTTTTATTGCCGTTCATGGTACTAGTAAGTGACACGTGCAAATGCACGTGGTTCATGTAATTTTCATAAATTATACGTGTATACATCGTTTAATGTAATTAATTAAAGTTTGCATTAAAAGAGATGTTACAAATAAATATTTATTTTAAAATCTAAACAATACAAGATACTTTCTTTTCGTCTAATATAAAAAATAAATATATCCGTGTGCAGGAGCGAAAGTGTCCTCAGAATATGTTCAGACCCCTCTTGTCAAGTGTACCAAGCTCGACATTCTACGCAGGAAAAGTAAACACAAATAACCGTTCTCTCGTATCCAGAAACTCTTCGATCACAACTAGCAGTAACGCAAGTTCCGATCAAGGAACAAGCGGACCACTCGATACCGAAGAAAGTAGCGAGCAAAACCAGGAGGATGTAACCAGTGATTTTACAAAGGGACAACAGCAATATCCAACCGCGCACGACGAAGTATTTGTCATGGACCAAGATAATGCTCCGAACGAAGCTGTTGTGAACAGAATGCTCGACGAACCACCTGATTTGGAAAATGAAAACGACGAGAGTAGCCGCCAAATTCACACTACTACAGCTGTGGATCCTGTTGATGTAGTGTCGGATAGAATACATGATTATTCAGATAACGATAGTGATGGCGATCCAGATACGGAGATATGCTCGAAATGCAATTCCAAGTTTCGTTCGAGTGAGTTACTAAGGGAAGGTGACGCATGGCTTTGTTCCGGGTGCAAAAGTTTGGAAGAAACCTTGATGGCAGATATGAATACTACACGAGACTTTGTTCCGATTCTAGAGTGTGGACCGATCGAGGTATTGGACCTATCTGCCTCAATTCCAGATTCATGGCAAGATACTAATCTTGACAGCATCACAAACGAGGGTCAACATTCAAACATTGACCCAATCAAGAACCTTGAAGGGGAGCTAACTTTTGCCGCCGACGAAGAGATTGATCAATCTGTGACAAATGGTGAGACGGGCCATCAAGAAATCGGTTCGAATTTGAAGGGTGACGATTGTGAAGGCACGGGTATATCGGTACTATTGAAGCAATCGAGCAGCAGAAAAGAAAACATTGTCCAGAGCAGAAGTTTTACGGCGAGTAACGTTTGTTACGACGATGATTTATCCTACGTGAGAGACAGTGTAAATAGCATGAGAAGCTCATCTGTGTCGTCTTCTATGGATCTCGGATCTTCTAGACAAACAGAGACACGTATTCACCGGCAATCGAGTGGCAAAAAGTCCGAAGCAGAAAATTACAGATTCGACACTCCGACGAAGCATAAGCGCTCCGTTTCGTCTTTATCTGGAGCTGGCAACAAGGATAAGGAAGTTTGTGGGGTAACATGTGAGCAATCGTTGGCTTCTGAATGTACGGAAGCTGAAAGTACGTGCACCGATGTGGAGAGCAATATTATCGACAAAACCGACGCGGAACTGTCGAATCACTTGACAGGTGTCGTCCATTCGGGAGGTACTTCGGTGGTGTCGAATTTGACTTGTGAGGATCCTGCTTCGCTCGAGAATGGAGACGAGCTGAGAAATATTTCGAGTAATTCGATAAATGAAGAAACTTCGGCTGCGGATATGCAGGATTCTACTCAAACGGAAGATGCCGTTGAAAGCTCTTTGGGTGACTTATCGGAGATGGAAATTGGAAATGCCGATGTTGATTCGACAAACTCAAAGATCTGTACGGATAACGAATTACTACTCGATCCTTCTGTTTCATCTGCATGCAATGATATTATTACGGCAACGACTGTGGAAGAATTTGACGTATCAGTTCCTGTACACGATGTTCTTGGTTTGTGCTTTTAATATCTTAATAATTTTTGTCGTTTATATTTATATATATATAATGGGATATTTAATATTTGTTTCTAATCTCAGAAGAATCGACGGTTGTGTTGGAAAACCTCGATGGAACAAAGCATAGAAGCCTCACACTAGAAGAAGCAACGAATGCGATCCTCTTTTGCAGCTCCATTGTGCACAATCTGGCATACGAAGCTGCAAATATAGCAATAAATAAAGAACACACACCACCACCACCACCGGTGGAATCTCTCCGGCCGACGGTAACTTTTGTCGGTAAATCAAATTCCGACAGAAGGGATAATAATGCTCGTTCGAGAACCCTCGGAAAACGCAGTTCCAAGTCACAGAAAGCTCGACAAAAAAGATTAGAAACAGATGTAAAAACTCCCCTGGTTGTCGCCGAAAGTGACGAGAAATCGACTCCACGCATTGTTATGTCTCCGAGCAAGAAATGGGATAGCATAAATCCTCCGAAGCTGGAGTCAAAGTGTAATTGCACGATTATGTAGGCTTTTCGAGCAGTTTGGATGAGTAAGATTTATTTTAATTTATTTTCTCTTTTTTTTTTTTTTCCGGTTTTGGGTTGTTTTAATTGTTTTTTTTTTTGTAAGAAATATATGTAACTATAGTGACAAATAATCACTTTTGTATAGTTCTAATTCTTGTTAGGCTGTGATGATAGTGGAAAAGGCAATTTGAGGTTTGTAGCTATTAACTCCAATTTGCCAGATTCTTTTTAGTGTTTGGTTTTGTTGCTATTCGTTGATATGAGGGCAAATTGGTAATTATTTTTATCTTTTTGTCTACAGAAAAGAAAAAAAAAATGCATTCAGATAATTTATTCCTGGTCATATGTAACTGTTGCCTGGAGTGCCTTTCAATTTTCATTAATTGATTTTGCATTTTTTTTCCCTCTATTTTAGCTATACGTGTAACCAAACACCGCTTATCCCTCTTTCCAATATATAATTATAATTCCCAAACAAGTCCGAATGTTCCCAAAATTACGATAAAAATTGGAAAAAAAACATCTTGTTCAACATTTGTGTCCTTTTTGTGCCAACGTATCTCCAAATGTCTACACTGCTACCATTTATGGATAATTGCCCCCTGTCTGGAAAAATCGACGTTTTTTGAAGTGCTATGATATTGCCGTCACCTGAATCATCAGCTCTTTGTTATTGCAATCAAGCAGAATGAAACTCTGAAGGAGCTTCTTACTACTATAGCAGAAAAGTGTGTAGTAGCTACAAATCCAGATTCATTGGCTTTTCAGTACCTAGCCCCACATTAAAGACTATATGTCAGTGACGAACGACGAAGACTTGGGAACGATGATGAATATGCATTTGATATAAAAGATGCTCATCGTCGACAATATTGTTTCTCAAAAAAGACGAGATATTTATCGCCATCGAAACGACCCGACATAATAAGGTAAATTAAATTACTAGGTCAATTGACGAAAACACCCTTGTACCGACCAAATACCAAAAAAGAGGGAAAATCACCACTTGCAAAAAAAACCGGCGGGAAAATCATCTGCGCACAGAACACACATTTCACACACACCCGCTGTCTTCCATGGACTCCGATTCAGATTCCGATGGCTCTCACATCTCCGCCACACCGCCAAATTCCCCACCACCTTCCACCGCCGCCCGTCACTCTCCAGTTTCTCGCCGCCGCGACATTCTTTTCTCCTCAATTAAATTAAGAAAAAAAACCCCAGCCCCAACCTCAACCACTTCAAGAACAATTTTGCAGCCCAAAATCTCCAAAAAGAAAAGCTCAATCCCACCTCCAAAATCCGAACCAATCGATTCCAAACCGCTAACCGCCGCCCCAATCCTGTCCAATTTGCCCTTCCTTATAAAGAAATCAGCCAACCCATCTGACGATAATTCCTCCGACGGTCTTCTTCACGGAGGCCACTGCACATCGAAATTCGCATCCTTTTTGAAATCCAAAGATAAGATTCTCAACTTCGAACCCGATCGCCCGGTTGAGATTAAAATTCAGACCGATGCTGGGAGTGCTGGTTTGGGGGAAGTCGTCAAAGACGAGGTTGTTGTTGTTGATAAGGGGTTTACCGTAAAAAGCGCGCGAAAAAGTCTCGGTTTGATTGGAGGCGGTGGCGATTCTGGTTTGCTGAAATGTCAAAAGCCCAAAAGTGGCAGTGAAGGGAATTTTGTGAAGCTGAATATCAATGGTTATGGGAGGAAGAAGTTTTCGTATAAGAACAAAAGAACGGGGGTCAGTTCGTCTACAAGGCGGTGGAAAAATTCTAGAGTGAGAAACAAGGGAAATGTAAAGGGTAAAGGGGGAGAAGAAAATGGTGCTGATGATGAAGAGGGTTTGGTTGTGGATATCGAAACGGGAGAGGAGAGATTGAACTTTCACTCCGAGCCGATCGAGGAGGCTGTGATGAGAGTGAGAAACGAGGCGTCGGACGAGAATCTGGTGAGTTTGTTGAAACTGACACATGGGTACGATTCGTTTAGGGATGGTCAGTTAGAGGCGATTAAGGCGGTGCTTTTGGGGAAATCGACAATGCTCGTCTTGCCCACAGGGGCAGGAAAGTCATTGTGTTATCAGTTGCCTGCACTCGTGTTTAGTGGAATCACACTTGTGGTTAGTCCTTTAGTAGCTTTGATGATTGATCAGCTCAAGCATTTGCCTCCTTCGATTCATGGTGGTCTTTTGTGCAGCAGCCAGGTTTCTTTATTCTCATTTGGTTTTACATTTAGGCCTCGTTTGGTTGCGAAGATTAGCCATGATTGACCAAAAAAATGGACTTTGTTTGATGTTTGGTAAACAAACCCAATAATTTCCCGGTCGACCGGGACATATTATGTTAACATGTCTTATCTTGCATTTTAGGGAGCTAATATAACAATTGGGTTTTCATTAGATTGTTTAGTCTTATCTTGGCTAATCCTATCATGGCAACCAAACGAGGCCTTATTGCCTCTGAATCGGTGTTTGCTAACTCTGTACCTTTTGGTGGTTGTTTAGAAAGCAGAAGAGGCTTCGGAAACACTCCGGTTGCTGCAAGAAGGAGCTATAAAGGTCCTTTTTGTTTCGCCGGAAAGGTTTCTGAACGCAGAATTTATTTCCATCTTTTCTGGCCGTTCGCTAATATCTCTCGTGGTTGTCGATGAAGCACACTGCGTTTCCGAGTGGTGAGTGCTTTATTGATGTATTTTTCTCCTTTGACTTTCAAAATTTTATTTCTCCATAAAAGCTGTTTACTGTGATTTATCAAATGCTTGAAACATTATTTTGGCAGGTCACACAATTTCCGACCCTCGTACATGAGACTTAGAGCCTCCTTATTACGTGGTAGGCTGAATGCAGACTGCATTCTAGCAATGACTGCTACTGCAACAAACAAAACATTATTCGACGTAATGCAGGCTTTAGATATTCCTTCCTCGAATCTTATCCAGTCAACCAAATTAAGGGATAATCTGCATCTTTCAGTTTCTAAAAGTGGGAACAGGTGTGTGTGTGTGTGTGTGTGTGTGTGCACTCAAGCTTAGTTAATGACTAATTCTGAGGCCTCGTTTTAAGATGAATTTAGTTTATGTATTCTTACAATTTTTTTGCAGAATGAAGGATTTGATTCAACTGCTTAAATCTTCTCCTTTTATGGATATCAAAAGCATCATTATCTACTGTAAATTCCAGGTATTCTTTTCTCACATTAACTGATATAGTTCTACAACTCCACGTATTCAATTTTTACGTCGGCAGACTTAGTCGATTCGAAGAATTAACTCTCGTTTCAACTAATTCTCCTCAATTTGATCTGTAGTCCGACACTGACACGATAAGCAAGTATCTGCGTGACAACAATATATCCGCGAAGGTTAGTGGTGCATTTATATCCTTCATTTATTGACATTGTTCTTTACATGCATTTGTGACGATTTCGATGAAAATACTGTTCATTTTTTCCTTCAGAGTTACCACAGTGGCATTCCTTCTAAAGATAGAAGCCGTGTACAGGAACTGTTTTGTGCAAACAGGGTCAGAGTGGTAAGAAGTTAGTCCGATTATCTTTTCCGTTTTTCAGTCTCCTCTGTGTTTATTTTTCAAATTGTTTCGGTATATTGACTTGCATTTTCTATTTCTGGAAGGTTGTTGCAACTGTAGCATTCGGCATGGGACTCGATAAAAGTGATGTTGGAGCAGTTAGTGAACTTTCCCGCCTTTTTTTTTTCTTTTTACATTTCTCAGGACGAACCAGACTTTTCTTTTCTTTCTTCGTTTATTATATTTTTGTGTGAAGGTTACCGAATTCTTGTCTCAGGTTATTCATTATAGCTTACCAGAGAGTTTGGAAGAGTATGTTCAGGTTAAAACCTCACATTCCTAGCATGATTTAACTAAATCGGTTAAAAAAGACGGAATTGCTATCTTGAACTGCTAAATTGAAATTATCGCTCGATTGATTTAGGAAATTGGTCGTGCTGGGCGTGACGGTACATTGTCTTATTGCCATCTTCTCTTTGATGATGCCACATATTTCAAGCTCCGTAGTTTGATGTACAGGTAATTGACGAGACCATTTTTTAGGTCAGTTATCCCTTTTATGTGGTTTAAAATCAAGACATATTACTAATAATATTATATTTCTCAGCGATGGTGTGGATGATTATGCTGTCAATAAGTTACTCTGTCAAATCTTCTCAAGTGACGGACTATCAACCGAAGAAACTTTGTCAATAGCCAAAGAATCAGCATCTCGTAAATTCGACATGAAAGAAGAGGTGCTTAGATTATTTTGCTTCTTGTTTTTGTCCTTACGGATAATCGATAATTGTCTATTTTTCTAGTGAACTAGTTTGTTTTTGCTAATTATTTGTGGGTTTTTTCACATTATAAATTTTGAAATACCGACACTTCAGTTTGCCAATACTTCAGATAGAAATATGATCTATAAATTGATCCGCCATTTTTGTCTGTTTGTAGGTCATTCTAACGATTCTTACGCAATTGGAGTTGGGTGAAGTGCAGTACATACATTTGCTTCCGCTAATAAACGTAACTTGCACTTTAAATTTTCACCAGGTTGGTAACTTAACTTATATTTTTTTACTTCCTTTTTTTTGGTTGCAATTGATTTTTTTTTTCCTATTGCAGACTTCGCCACCGATTTTTGCATCTAGAGATTTTGTGGTTGCTGCAATTTTAAAGAAGTGAGAATTCTTTTTTTGCTAAAAAAATGACTACTCGAGCAGTTATCTAAAAGAGGGCTTTTCGATTAATTATCTGTGCCTTATAAATCAGGTCTGAGATGAAAGATGGGCAGTACATTTTTAACATTCCGTCTGTCGCAAATATCATGAGAATGCAAGCTGTTGACCTGCTAAATCATTTGCAGAGTCTAAAGGTTAGTGTTGATTTAATTTGTTTCGATCCTTTCGCTATTCCAATAACTACTAATCGATTTGAAAGTATAAACGTATTTTTCAAAATGATATATTACCACATGAATTTGCTTTCTTGACGTGTCAATTGAATTCCGTGCTTAAGATCTTCGTAGCCCGATTATACATACACCACTTATACGTTCGTATAATAGTAAATTTCCTTATCTACTTTTTTGTTGTAATTTTGAACTTACGATTGATAGAATTTCCTTTTCGTTGACCAGGTCAAAGGGGAAATTACGTACGAGTTGAAGGATCAAGCTTATTGCTACAAAATTTTGAAGGTTCCGGAAGATACTTGTTTATTGGCAACTCAGTTGACAGAGTGGCTTGGGGAGGTTGAAACTTGTAAGGTGATTGGACGTGTTCATGTCATCGATTTTGGATAATTTTTATATATATTTTTTTTCAAATTTATAGTTTCTACTAAGTTCACAATCTGACGGACTCGTGTAATTGGGTCGACGTAGGTCCGGAAAATAGATGCGGTGTTTAATGCCGCAGCTTTTGCTGCAAATGCGTGCGACAAGTCACTCGGTTGCCATAAAGACCACCATACACCTTGCCTGCAGAAGAATATTCTCTACTACTTCAACGAAGATGCTGATTCTCACGTGCCTACTCAGATTGAACAAAACAGGTTTGGTTAAAACGAAAAAGAAAAAAAAATCGGAAATTCTTGCTGTACGTTATTATCAAGCGTAAAAAATCGGTATTATCCTGTCTCTAAAACGATGGCCTGCTATATAAGTCTATATTAATTTTTTTTAGTCGACAATTATGAAACTAAGAATGTTTTATGTCATCGTAATAAGCTTTGTGCCACGATATATTTTTTATGAGGGAACTAATGTAAGGCATGTTCACTTGTTATTGCAGTCGATTTCTACGAGCAGATATAAAGGTAGAAATTTCCCAAAGTTTATAACATGGTTTATTTCTGGTTACGTAAATAACGCAAACTTGTCGTAAGTTTAATTTACGTTGTCTGTACTAGGTTTTTCTCCAAAGTAATGCACAGGTCAAATTTACTCCACGAGCCGTTGCAAGAATACTACACGGACTTGCGAGTCCAGCCTTCCCTCCTTCTACTTGGTCAAGAACTCATTTCTGGTAATTATTTTGCGCACAAAAAAAAAAAAGCCTCGACTTTTTGAAATCGTCTTGTTCGCTTGTTTAATGGAGGTGTCCATTTCAGGGGAAGGTATGTGCATATGGATTTCAGAGCAATAATGGAGGCAGCGAAAGAAGAACTCGTAAATTTTGTCGGGAAGCATGTAACTTAACTGATTTTTCGGTTGTTTTTCCTTTTTTCGGAATCTTATTACAAGAATATTCTCCGTTTGCGTAATAGGATTATTCGTGGATGAAATTGTATTATTTATTTAATGAGATTTAAAATTAAGGGGTTACTGTGCATTCATTCATTCAGTTTGATGTAAATATGATGAGATAGTAACTTTGTGACATAGCAAAGAAACAAATTTTTGTACTTAGTTTTTTATAAAGGTGATTAATTGTTCAACATGATGTTTTAGATTTGAAGATGGAATCAAGAACAAGAATATTCTTTTTTTCTATGGATGCTTTTCATTCAAGAATATTCTTTTCTTTATGCTTATTTCTCTGAATTCATTTTGCTATTATAAGATATTGCTTATAAATTTCAGCAAGGGAATTTATCAACAAAAAAATAGAATTCTAAATATTTATTCAAATCAACAGAAGCAAATAAAGCATGGTCGTTTCAACTCTTACGACTCGATTCGTTTCGAGTTATAAAATTATTGACTCAAACCTTACAAAATCGAAATAATTTCTCAAACAATGTTAATTTCTACAACTTTTTTTTTAAAATTCGATAGATATCTTACGAGATAATAAGGACACGCGTATTTTGTCATTTTGCTAAAAGTTCATGTCGCTCCCCCTCTAACGGAATCGCTTAGAAAAACTAACAGTAATGGCGACGTAGTGATTTGCACATCTTAGTTATATTAATAAGCAACAACTTAGTTAAAATACCGTGAAGGATAAACTAAAACAAGAATAGATCTTTCCCCGCATATACAAAACTTACACATATAGCTTAGTTACACAGCTTAGTTACCACCATCACCAAACAATTCTTTATGTTTTTCCGGTTTGGTTTCCATGATTATTATGTTACAATGGAGATGAATGAGTGTAACCAAAATCGTATGCGTGGTTGCGTATGTGTGAATGTAGGTGTGATTATGTGTGTGTGCATGCATGTGTGGTTGCATATGTGCGTATGCAGGTGTGTAATTATGTGTGTGCGTCTGCGTGTGTCATAGCTTTTCAACGTTGACAGCGGCGGGAAGCATGGATTCAGCAAATTTAAAGGAATGCAACGAGGTTAGACGAAATCTGACGAGGTGTGGAGTGTAAAAAGCACATGACTTTTAGCAAAATTGCAAAAGTTAATATATCTTGATTTGAAAGATAATTAGAGCTCAGGTATCTTTAGCAAATTGCCAGTAAAAATAACCATTGTATATTAATTCAATCAGTTTTCAACCATGAAAGCAATCCATTTGATTTTTCATTTGTAAACTAACCATTACATGCTACAAGGGAAATTTTAAATTTTTTTACTCATATTTTTTTTATTTTTGTTAAGAAAATTAAATTATGTTTTATCTTTATTTGTATTTAATTTATTTATCCATATAAACAACGTGGGCCAAACACACGTACCACTGTTGAGGTTTCTACAGTATATTCCGAGGACAATGGGCATATTATTCCCTTACCAAAACATCTGGAAAAATAAATAAATATATATTCAATTTTATGAAGAAATTGATTAAAACAAATAAATTTAAAAAAGAAAAATCTGTTGACCGTTTTTTAGTTAATTTACGCACAAAAACAATTACTAGAACATACCTCTTTGCTTCCCACAGATCGAATCCGCCTCCGTTTGTCTTCTTTTTTTTTTTCTTCCTATTTTTCGACGTAATTTCGAACAAGATTCCAACTTTCTTGATTCTGAAGATTGCCAAGAAAAGCAATTCTAATTGGAGCCCGGATTTTTAAATAATTAGATATATATATCAATTGTAAAGATCGGGGGAAAAAAATAAATAAATGGTGATGAGGTTGATGCAAGATTCAATGCCGGGAGCAGCTGAGGCGGCGGCGGCGACGGCGACCACATCGCACGCTACGTCGTCGTTTTTCGCGAATTACCCCTTGATGTCTGCCCTTGTTGCCTTTGCTATCGCCCAGGCAACTAAGTTCCTTTCTTCCTGGTCTCTCTCTCTCTCTCTCTCTCTCTCTCTCTCTCTCTCTCTCTCTCTCTCTCTCTCTCTCTCTCTCTCTCTCTCTCTCTCTCTCTCTCTTATTTTTGTGCGTGCGTCTCTGTGTTTTCTTTCCCTGATTTACTAATTCTGATGGGGTTTTCCTGATTCTAGTTTATCTCCTTGATTTATGTTTTATGTGTGTGTGTGTGAGAGAGAGAATTAGAAAGGGGTTTTTGTATGATAGAAGAAATACTGGAGGGAATTATCAATGTCGCACACCAGGTGTTCGATCATTTTACCGGACACTGTTTCCAATTTCTAAAATAATTAATTAATACTTTGTTGTTGAATTTTGGTTTCTGTTGCTTAGCTAAGAACAGGTAAACTAGTAAAACCACACAAATAAATGCTAAATATGCTAGAGGAAAACTGAATTTTAACATCCTTGAAGTTTGAAATTGTGGTTAAACATTTTCTTGATATTCACAAAAAATAATAATATGATGGCAAAATTCTTAAAAAAATGTTGAAAGTCGAGTACTTTGTGTAGGTATAAGGAAAACCGTTGGGATCTGAAGCAACTGGTTGGATCTGGTGGTATGCCGTCTTCTCATTCAGCTACAGTTACTGCTCTTTCGGTGGCTGTCGGTCTCCAAAACGGTTTTGGTGGATCGGCTTTTGCTATTGCACTAGTCTTGGCATTTGTGGTACGATAAACTCGTCTTTCTTTACTCGGCCTTTTTTGTATTTTTTGCAATGATTATAAATCGTGTTTTTTTTCATTGTTTTCATCAGTTTGCTAGAGCTGTTTGTCGAACATGTGATAAGCCCATTTCAAGGGATTTTAGTTCCGGAAATTATCGTTTTTAGCCCTTTATTGCCGTATCACGTTCTTAAAATTTATGTTACTGCACTGTCTGAAATACGGAAAATTTTGATACTTGTGACATCTACTTGAAGAAATTTCCGAAAGAAAACAACTTCCGATACATTCGGTTCTATTATTAAAGTGACGATCTGTTTTAGAGAAAGTCAATTTTTTTGCCGTGTGGTTTTTTGGACTTTCTGAACACGATGAAATTTTGACAGGTGATGTATGATGCAACTGGTGTACGATTACACGCTGGACGTCAAGCAGAGGTTTGTAATTTAGTGCAAATATAACAGCATGGGCAAATACACAATCATCTTCGCTCGTCGTTCTTTCTCTGGAAATTTATTAATTCAAAATTAAAATAAACACCCAACGTAGCACAAACACATGCCTTGCAGTTTATGTGCAATCGAGAAAGATCTAACAAAATGGATACGTGTCAGGTTTTGAATCAAATTTTATGCGAACTTCCAGCTGAGCATCCCCTTGCTGAGAGCAGACCTCTACGCGAGCTTCTTGGTCACACTCCTACTCAGGTTCGATTTTCATTCTCGAAATTTACTTGAAATATTATATCTAAAATTTGAGTATTACAGTAGAACCTCGATAAATTAATACTCGATAAATTAATAACCTCGATTAAATAATAGTTTCTCTCGGTCCCGACTCGGTGAAAACATGTTAAATTATTAACTCGATAATTTAATAATTTGCTAAATTAATAGAATTTCCTTAGTCCCGACAGTATTAATTTATAGAGGTTTAACTGTATTCTGTGAATTGGAAATGTTGTTGTGGTAAATAGTAATCGATCCACAAAATATTTCTTCTTTGTTTGTTGGATATATTTTAATTAATAATTAGAAGTAAGATGTTGTTAATGAATGCTCGTTTCTAAATAATTTATCGTCGATTTAAAAAATCAGGTTGTTGCTGGTGCACTATTGGGACTGTTTACAGCGACAACTATCCGTTTGATCTGCGGATCGGGTGTTCAAGATCGATAGTTTCTCATGTATTCCACGGATAATGATACAGATTTTAGGTCAACTCCAAACTATTTATTTATCTTCGGTTATTCTTTAATTCATATGGTGTATCAGATACGTATGAACGAGGGTAGGTTCTATTTATTAGTATGGCTGTGCATTATATATATATATATATATATAGCATTGTATTTGTACCAGTAGGGAAATTATTTACTAAGTTGTGGATTATATATAGATACCTACTTGTGATTAAACAGCATAAATTCTCATTAAATTTGTTCATGTTAGTACAGTATTCTGGCGCGATAATCTGTATGGTCTTCATCGTATATTTCAATTTTATTTTTTTTCTCTATGAAGGTTAATTTTGGATTGATTTTCTTGATTCATGCTATTGTTACGAATTTTGAGCATACAATTTGGATCGGTTAGCTTTGCAAGACCAAGATGGGTCGTGGTTATGTAAAATGACCAACTTACCCTTGTATATAACACGAAAGTACCTATATTTCTCTTTGAAAGGATTACAATTTCATAGACACATGTAAATTCTGTACTAGGTAATAACATCTACCTGTGCAAATACATTACATTTGACACTAAATCAAGTGAATTTCAACGAATGTAGCATCTACAAAGACCTGCAAATACGTACTGCGTTGTATATTTATATGCCAAGTATAGCACAAAACACTTTTTTGAGCACCAAGAAAGGATCGCCATTGATTTCCGATTTTGCACGCCAAACAATGTGCTCGTCTGGCCTCACTAAAACAGCTCCTCTATCTGTCATCCCACACAGTTCCCACCAATCAGCTCCAATCGCATCCACGAAATTCTTCCAGGGTAAAAGTGTCTTTTCGCTTCCGACAAATCCATCATCAGCACTAGCTTTCTCTCGCCACATCACGCATACTTTAACCGCAACCTTAAATTCCTCGGCCACCTTAAATGCAGCTCGTGCCAGCTGGTACGACTCTTTGATCGGTGCTATTATAAGAAGGAACTCAACTTTATCACCAGATACAAGGTCGAGGGTCGAGAATGCATCCTGTAACACAAAAAAAAAGAAAAGAAGATCAAAATCCGAAACGAGAATTCACATTTTTTTGCAGTAGATATTCGAACCCACCTTGCAAAATAGTGGCGATAATAATTGAATATTCATATGAGGCAATCTTGATCCAGGATCTGAGGAGGGAACATAGTCCCTCCTACGTCCAGTTGGCGTTTCTTGTGGGGTCCACGAACTATCACCTTCAGACACCAGCGCTCCTTTAGAGTACCTAGCAAAATTAAATCTTATTACAGCTTATGGACAAGTCATTGTGAAATATTCGAGGATTATAAAATCTTATCGTGTTTAATTTCCACCATTAGCAACAAACTGCTCTAGGATTGACCGGTACCTGAATCCTAGGTCTTCAGCGGGGAATTGTAGTTGAAGGCTTTTTCCTTGGTCAAATATCTGTCTTAGTTTCGAAAGCCTCGAAGAACCAATAGGATTGTTTTCGTTGAGAAGTGAATCAGAAAGCTGCAATCGGCCAATGCTAAATATTCCGTCTAGAACTACCCTTTGTAGATTGGATGGTAAGAAGGAACCAAAAGTACCGTTTATAGTGCGATGAACTGCAAATCAACAAAAAAAGGATTTAGGAAAAACAAAAAAAAAATGAATTGAAGTTTAAATAGTTAACGGATTTACCTGAATTAGCAATGCTTGGATCAAGACCGAGAGCAGCAGGGACTTCCATTGCTGCTTTAAAATTTTGAACACTCAATTCTGTATTAAAGACGGCGATCTGACAAGTTTCGTCACATAAGATAAATGCCGTACTTTTTTGTGAAAGAAATTGATTTGGACAAAAACGAGGCAATAAATACCTGCTTACGCTCTGTTTCATAAGTGGAAAGAAACGACGGTGGTGCAATTCCGTCGAGTACAGAAGCCAACTTCCATGCAAGATTATGAGCGTCCTGAATGCCAGTATTCATTCCTGAAAAATGTAACAGAGTTCCTTACTTCCTTATTGAAAAATTGAGCATTTGGTTGCAATTTTCAAAGGGAAGATTTAAAAAAAAAACATGAAAATTATTTCATACCGAAACCACCAGCAGGAGGAAAACGATGAGCAGCATCACCAGCAAGTATTATTCTGTTATTACATGCCAAGAATGCTTCGGCAACTTCAGCATGCATCACCCAGGGTTTTACATCTAGGACATTTATGTCTGCAAGCTCTCGACCAACCAATTTGAAGATTAATTTCTCGCACATCTACAAGAAAAGTAACTTCTTTACAAAAGCTGATATATACATATAACAGATTTTTGGCTCTTAATAACTTGTATGTTTGGCTCATAATCTATTTCCCAGTATTTGCATAAAATTAGTTCTTTTCAGCTATAATTATAAAAGCATGTGGAACAGCTTTTTTGAGCTTATAGCATTTGAGATATTTAAAATAAAAATAAGCTGAAAACTAACTTTGGTTGCAAACACATAAACTTCTGAGTAAGTTGATTTTTTCTGTGCTTTTGCAATTTACCCACGACTTTTAAAAATAAGCGACTATCTCAACCTTTACTCACAATCACCAACTTCTACTTCTGTAAAAGCTTTTGCAAACACTAGCTAAGAAACTTTAATCGAAACAACTTGACCGTAGACTAAAACACGCAGCAGATGCATTTAACTTCATCAGAAATGTAGAGCTATGGGAGTGAAAAAGCTAGACTATGGAGGTAGGAAATTACCGTTGAGCTAAAATCCTCAAACTTCTGCTGCGGTGCATAAAATGGTACCTGCATAGCACCAAACGACGAGAAATTTTAATTTTCTAGTTAAAATAATTAATGAGCATAAAAACAAGACCTCAACACGCAAGGTTAAGAAATTCACCTGCAACACAAATTCCCCTTGCTTCAGATCATGAGCAACAATAACACCTATGGCTTCAGTGTTGAACACGAAAAACAGCATTCCCGGTTTCTCTTCAATCAAGTACTGTCCAAGATCCATGCTCGTAAAATGCACACTGATAAGCTTTTGCAGGTTCCGTTTGCCGCACATGCCTATTCCCATTAGTTTTCTTACAGTACTTCCTGCACCGTCTGTACCCACAACGAAATTGCACTGGAATTCTTTCTCCACATGCTTTCCTTCCCTCGTTATATTTGCCGTCACAGTTACACCATTTTCAGAGGCATTGATTGAAGTGCACTCATGCCCCAATAGTATCTCCCGCTCTGCCAGCTGACAGTCGTTGGAATTCATAGACACGTCACTTCTGATATGAAAACCAATGTCCTCGAGCTGTTTAATTAGCAACTTCGTGAGTTTGTACTGTGAAAAGTGGGCAACGGAAACTGGGCTCACAATCCGGTCAAAATCTGCACATAACCGAGCTTGTGACGATTTAAAAAAAAATCGTAAACCTATTCATATACAAACTCCATAGAGTTTTAAGCTTTATTCAAAACACCAATCACCAAGAGGAACGTAAGTAAAGAAACAGGTCGAACCAATAATTTTGAAACATTTTCGATAATTATACTTGTACGTTCAAAATTATATGTTATAATCCTTTATTTATATTTGGCAAGTTCATCCCTAGAATCGATTGAAATTTAAATCACAAAATGGCATTATTAACTTTTCCCTGCATATTAATATAATGTAAGATAAAGAAGCACATGTCATTTTTCATGAGTACCGATGAGTTATCAACATACACGCCATCTTGATAATCAATTCAAGTAACTGCAATCTTTTTCCATCCTCAAAATCCACACATAAAGTGTATGTGTATATTGTATATATACACGCACACACACATATATATCACCTTGAGGTTGCATGTGGTCGACTGAACCAAGAACCGGACCAGTAAGTGAAGTACAGTATACGAACTTCCTCCATAAATCCACAGGAGGCTGATACTTGAGAATCTCATCGGCCAGGCCATTTACTTTCCGAAAAACCTGTCATGAATTTCTACTGAAAATAAAAGTTCTAGTTGAATTAATAAAAACTCGAATATCTCGAAAGAAACATCCGCATTAGACGATTTCAAACTAACAAATAAAAAGGCAAATGCAAGAAACCTCCATCGACCGGTTGTTGATGAAATGAGCTTGAGGGTGTCTAGAGAAACCACTGCTTTTCTCCATAACCGCACATTTAACCCCTGTGAGAGACCATACAAAATAACATTTAAAATCGTGATCATTTTAAAGCAAACAATTCTCGATGAAACCCCCATTACTAATCGATTAACCGAAAAATTAAAAAACAAACACTTCTTCTCCTTATAGAAACGAATTAACATTTTACATAGAGGAATCATAAAATGAGAAAACACATTGATTTTCACATAATAATCTCAATTGACAACTGTAAGTTCAAAATATAAAGCCCCCTTTTTCCAAGTTTACCTAATTTAGTGAGAAGAATCGATAGAACAAGTCCAACAGGGCCTGCGCCGACGATTAATACCGGTAGCAATGAATCATTGCCGTCGTTTCCGCCGGAGAACGCTCTCCTCTGAATGTAGGGATTCCGTACAATTGCGCTGCTTCGTGTTCTGGTGCGGTGGAGTCCATGGAGTCTTCTCGTGAACCTCAGAAACCCCATCGCAGAGAGAGAGAGAGAGAGAGAGGAATGGGTACTTACTTCACCGGTAATGAATAATTCACGACAACATGAAACAAACAAACACCTATTCGTACAAGTATGTAATTCCACCAATTCTCAAGCTTCCATGGCGAATTGTAACTAAATAAAAAAAAAATCTGGAGAAACTCGGTTCAGTTTTTTGTATTGCACAACTTCATCTTCAGAAATCAGAAATCACCATGAACTGAACGAAGGAATTTAAGAATTTAAGAATTTAACGAATTTAATATTATTATTATTAGGGTAAATTACAACCACCCCTGAGGTATGGTCAAATTACGAAAAACCCCATCTTGTTTGGATAATTACAACCACCTCAAATTTAGTGGAATTTTCTAGATTATATGGACTATTATTACTTTTGTACCCGTTTTATCCCATTCGAACTCTACATTTTAAAACAAGATGATCATAATACGTGTTTTTTGGCTTGTACATATCATATTGTGGTGCATCGAAAACTGTATTTTTACACAAAACGAGTACAAATTAGAACACATTCCACGAAATCTAGATGATTATGTTGAATTTGACACCATAAGGGTGGATGTGTAAGAAAAAAAATCATAATTGAGGGGTAGATGTAATTATCTAAACAATATGGGTTTTTTCGTAAATTAACCATACCTCAAGGGGGTGTTTGTAATTTACCATTATTATTATTATTATTATTATTATTATTATTATTATTATTATTATTATTATTATTATTATTATTATTATTATTATTATTATTACATATACTTATGTGTAAATAATATATAAATATAAATAAGAAATATTAAGTCGATATATGTCTACTTATGTCTCGTTCAATTGTTATATTAAATTAGTAAAGTATATGGTTGAACGAAACTCAAACTAATTCAGAAAAGATGTCGTCCGTAGTTAAACATCGTTCCTCGATAAAATTAGGAGTTGCACATTTGCTATTAATTTTGTAGATGATTACTAAAATGAAAAAAAGATGTTAACTAGCTATTTAGTTAGTCAATAAAGAAGAATTAATACATTATAATTTAATCTAAATTAATTTGGTCCATGTAAACTATTTATTAATTATAGTGACACTCAAATGGCATATTTGACACAAGAATTAAAAGTGACAATCAAAAGACTGAAAATTAGGCAGAAAAACTAATGTTCTCAATTTTGCCATGTCTAACAAACAACGTGGCTCTCTTTCATCCAAAAATCTCTGCCTGAAAAACTTTAATTGCTTGAAATATTTATCAAAGTAGAGTATTACAAGTTAAATGATGTGTATGTAGTGGCGGCGGAGTCAGTATATGAAGCAAACACCTATTCGTACAAGTATGTAATTCCACTATTATACGAGAGTGTAGGTTTACCCAGTACACTTATATGGTTTGTTATATATATATATATATATATATATATATATATATATATATATATATATATATATATATATATATATATATATATATATATATATATATATATATATATATATATATATATATATATATATATATATATATATATATATATATATATATATATATATATATATGTGTGTGTGTGTAATTCCACCAATTCTCAAACTTCTATGGCAAATTGTAATTTAAAAAAAAAGGGAAAAAGAAGAATTTGGAGAAACTTGGTTCATTTTCTATTGCACAAAGGAATTTAGGAAATATTATTATTATTATTATTATTATTATTATTATTATTATTATTATTATTATTATTATTATGACACACACTTATGTGTAAATAGTAATATATAAACATAAATAAGAAATATTATCCAAAAAGAAAAAAGTCGATATATGTCTACTTGTGTCTCGTTCAATTGTTACTATTAAGGATAAATTACGGCCATCCTTAAGATAAGGTTAAATTACGAAAATTTTCCTCATGTTTGGATAATTACAATCGCTCATCAACTATGAATCTTCTTACATTACGTGGTATTTGTCAATTTGTACCCGTTTATCTCGTTCGAGCTCCACATTTTTTTCGTAATTTGACCTTACCTCAAAGGGTGGCCGTAATTAACCCCACTATTAAATTAGTAAAGTATCTGGTTAAACAAAACTCGAACTAATTCAGAAAAGATGTCGTCTGCAGTTAGACGTTGTTATTCGATAAAATTAGTAGTTGAACATTTGCTATTAATTTTGCAGGTGATTACTAAAAGGACAAATGGTGATTTATCCTAACATGATTAAATTCTTAGAAATTCGACTGTCTAATGTGGCATTTTCTAGACTTCAATTAATTAATTTAAAAACTTAAAGGGGTCATTTAGATATATTGTATTTTCATTAAAGAAGGATCGTTCTTTGGTGCAGAAATTCGAACCCTGTTGCTCTCTAGAGAAATTCCAGGGCTTACAATTTACAATAGAGATGAAGGAATTGTGCTCTTGAGATCAATGAGTTGCATTTCTCGTCGAGATCAATGCGTTGCATTTTCCGGAATTGTACTGTCAGGGCTAGGGAGTTTCTTTGACTGTGAAGAGTTCGCATAAGTTTCCAAGATTTCGGTTCGATTTTGACTACGCGAATTACCCTTTCACATGGACTAATAAGAGAGAGCATCATAACACTATCAGATGTCAGTTGGATCGTGTTTGTGCTAGGTATGAGTGGATATCCATTTTCCGAGACCCAAAGGCACTTCACTTACCACTCAGAGAGAGCCGAAAGTTATTAAATGCGAATCTCGTAGAATGTTTAGATTCGAAGCAATGTGGATTGGGATGGGAGAGTGCGAGGATATTATCCGACATACGTTGGGAGAGAGCATCGCTTCCGAGCCTATGGAGGACCTCATTTGGAAGAGAGATGAATGCATAATAGCTATAACTTGGTGGAGTAGATCTAGTCTTAAATAGCCTCAAAGACAGATATAAGCCTTACATTAGAAAATCGATTATTTGAATAATGAGTTTCAAACTGAGATTATATTGTTTGGGATGAACTGAGGGCCCTAGGGAGCATTTTGAATGGTTATATGAGAAAATTGATATTTATTAGTGTCAATGGAGTAGAATTCAATGGCTGGAAGAAGGAGACTAAAATACCAAGTTTTTTTTCATGCAAAAAGGCTTCTTCTCATAACCGGGTTAACAAAGTGGATAGAATAAATGATCAGAATGGATTGGAAGGTGAAGAAAGAAGACATCAAATAAATTATTGATGAATACTTTGCTCACATCTTCGAGACTACCTACCCGAGTGAGATTAAGATATATGAGATTTTCGAGCATTTTGAGCTGAGAGTTACAAGCGAAGCGAATCAGATGCTATCCATTCAATTCATCTTAGATGAGGTATCAGTATCGGTATCGATATCTGTATCAATACCGATATTTGTATCAATATCGGTATCGGTAGCAGTATCGATATCGGTATCAATATCAGTATTAGTATCAATATCAATATTAATATATTTATGAGTATCAATATCAGGATCCGCATATCGGTGTCGATATCGGTATCAGTTTGGGCGTATTAGTATCCGCATAGTATCAGTATCAGTATCTGCGTATCGATATCCGCGTATTGGTATTAGTATCAATATCGGTATCAATATCAATATATGTGTATCGGTATCGGTATCAGTATAAGTATCGGTATCTTTATTATTATCAGTATTAATATTAGTATGAGTATCGATATCAGTATTGGTATCGGTGTCGGTATCGGTATCGGTATCAGTATCGATACTCGATTCGTATCGATATCGATATCGGTGTCAGTATCGGTATCAGTATCGACATCGGTATCAGTATTAGTACCAGTATCGTTATTAATATCAACATCGTTATCGATACCAATATCGATATCGATATCAATATCGGTATCGGTATCACTATCGATATCGTCATCAGTATCGATATCGATATCAATATCGATATCAATATCAGTATCAATATCGGTATCGATATCAGTATCGGTATCTGGATCGGTATCTATAGTATCAGTTTTTGTATCAGTATCGGTATCAATATCGGTATCGGTATCATTATCGTTATTGGTATCGGTATTATAGGAAGAATATAATAGAAGAAAGAGAGAAAAATAACGTAATAGAATAGAAACCCCCATTATGTTATGGGTTGATTACATGGAATATATATAGAGAAATATTGCAAGGTAATAGAGTTTGACTAGGTAACTAAATCCTAACTAATCTAGGTAACTCAATCATACTAGAATCCTAATATTAGGAGAGTTCTATAATATAATATTCTCTAACACGCCCCCGCAGTCGAAACGTGACGAACGTGAAGACTGGACAATCACTTGCTAGCACGCTCCCGCAGTCGGAACGAATAAACTTCAAACGTGAAGACTGGAAACTTCAAACGTGAAGACTGGACAGAAACCGCGAAACACATCGCTAGAGAATTCCTCTGTGGAAATATCTGTCCAATTTAATAGAAAGAAAATAATAATAATAACAGGTGAGAGAAAAATAAGCAATTTTTTTTTTTTTTTTTTTTTTTTTTTTAATCGAGAGAGAGAGGGGGAGAAAATATGAGGGGTCGCCGGACATGGAGAAGAAGAGAGGCAGCAGCTAGGTTTTAGGCCATGGAGAAGAAGAAGAAGAAAAAGATAGAGAAGATACACCACCGAGAGAGGGAGAAAATTCGGTTTGGTGTCGCCGGCCATGGAGAAGAAGAGAAGCGGCGGCTAGGTTTTAGGCCATGGAGAAGAAGAAGAAGAACGGAAAAAAAAATAGATAAGATGCACCACCGGGGGAGGGAGAAAATTTGGGTGGTGTTCATAGAAAAGATAGAAAAAAAGAAAGATATTAAGAGTACACCGCCATGGAGAAGAAAGGCGGCTAGGTTTTCACCGCCATGGAGAAGGAAGGCGGCTAGGTAAAAAACCTAAACCTGGTGCTCTGATACCATATAGGAAGAATATAATAGAAGAAAGAGAGAAAAATAACGTAATAGAATAGAAACCCCCATTATGTTATGGGTTGATTACATGGAATATATATAGAGAAATATTGCAAGGTAATAGAGTTTGACTAGGTAACTAAATCCTAACTAATCTAGGTAACTCAATCATACTAGAATCCTAATATTAGGAGAGTTCTATAATATAATATTCTCTAACAGGTATTAGTATCGGTATCTTTTTTAATATCAGTACCGATATTTGTACCAATATCGATATCAGTATTAGTATC